GGTATGCCCTCCTGCAGATATGCCCACATATGAGTACCCGGCGTGAAGACTGTTACCCATGCTACACCATGCTTCAAGACAACATTTCATTGATTTGTTCTTAGAAATAAATATTTCACAATATATATTTACATTTTGTTTTTGTGATGAATCACTATGCTTTAATTATGTTCAATTTGTAACAATGAAAAACATCCTGCATATCAGATATTTACATGATGATTCATAACAGTAGCAAAATTACAGTGATGAAGTATCAAGGAAATAATTTTATGGTTGGGGGGTCACCACAACATGAAGAACTGTGTGAAAGGGTCGCGGCCTTAGGAAGGTTGAGAACCACTGATTTACAGTCAGATGAGAGCTCTCTCTGTCTTTATCTCTGAAAAGGTTGCCTTTGGGCAAGATAAGGAAGAAGGGATTTGTGATGCGCCCCCCAGGACCAGTCTGTCCGATGATGACTTTCCGTGGGCATGAGATGCTCTGGCTTGACTCCAAGACCAGGTGGAAAAGGAAGTCTGGATGGAACTTCCGTCTCATGGCTGGGGACCTGAAGCTAAGGTTCATCCTACAGATCTGAAGAGAAGCCTGTGAGTCAGGATCCTGGAGAATTTGACAGACCGAGAATTTGACAGACCCCAGTTCTGGCCTACAGCCTCTTTCTCTCACTTCACCTATCTACTTCCTCAAAATAGGTCATACATATGTGGCAGTTACATAATCTGTCAACTTATGAAGGGGTGGAGTCTAGCCTGTCAATCAGGTTGCAGCTTGATGACCTCATTGGAGGTGCAATGGAGATAAATAGCTCGAAGGAGGCAAGACACTCTCTCTCTGTGAGACATTCCTGTTGAGACACCACATGGAGCAATGCTGATAGACTCAGAGCCCTGGAGGTGGAGGAGCCACATGGAAACCCATGCCACCATTGTGATGCTTCCACCACCACTGGATCCACAAGACTTTCTTCCCACTAACCTGTGATCTTTCTTTATTCTGCCTCATTGCATGTGTTGTATGAGTCTAAAGAGGAACTTATAGACTGGTATCGGACATATGGGCTAATATCGGACTTACGGACTTGATCTGGACTGGGCTGGGATGTTTTCTCAATATACAACTGCTCTTTTATATAAAGCTCTTTCTTATACACATATGAGTGTCTATGAATTTCTCTAGTCCCTCCACCCAGACTAACACACGAGAACATCCTAGGTTGCTTTGAGTCCTTCCAAATATCCAAACTTGTGAAGGCTCGGTGCACTGCAGTGAATTATTTAACATTGACTCTTTCAGCCATAGTCTTTGTTACTTCCACCAGCCAACCTAATTTTTCTTGATGGGTCTTGGTGAGACGGTGGGGGAAGGTACTGATTATATTATATGCTTCAACGCCAAGTGACTGCCGCTGGGTGTAAAGTTAGCCATCTCTGCAGCAGGAAGGGGGATTTCATTAATGGCAAGAGCCACAAATGGAGCGCATCCTCTGGACCCAAGAGCCTGTGCAGTGAGCCTCCTTGATCCAGGAAGACAGTGTTAACACCACAGGAGTGAGAGCGCAGCAGCAGCACTAGGAGCCAGAGCAGTAGACTTCCCAGCCCAGAGAGCAAGTGCAGCTGAGTGCTTTGGGGCAGGAAGCTGGTTTGTGGAGCAGGGAGCCTCTGGACACTTAACTCTAGGAGCCGAGTTTGCTGGCCCTTGGAGCCAGAGCTGAATGTCTTTGGGTCAAGGCTTTTAGTGGAGTGGCATGCCCTTTGGGCATTTATCAGCAGCCCTTAAAGAACTCTGTAGCACATCCTGACCGAACAACCATATCCTGGGCATTTCTCACCTGAATTGTAACCTGTTAACTGCCATAATAACCCCCTACCTCGTAATCATGAGCATCATCTGTGACTTCCGTGGGGCCAATGCAATGCATTCTAGAACCTGGCGCTAAAAGTAGAGCAGGCCGTGCAAGGCAAACATTGGCACCAGCCAAGTGGAGAGACACAGGGCCAGGGCAATGTGGCGGATTGTGGGAAATAGATTTTCTGAGAGGCTAGCTGGCAGAGTGGAGAAAGCTATGGGGACACCTGGGAACACATGGCTTTTTCCAGAGGAGGGTGTGGAAGATGCTGCATTAGACAGAGAGCCAGGAGCGCCGGCTGAGGTTTCAAGCACACAGACT